GGAAAAGTGGTGGGGTAAGACCCTTTGTCCAGGGTGGGACACACACACACACACACTGCAAACTAGATGCCCGCTCATAGACTGAAAACATCTTCAGGCAATTCTGCCAAATGCTCGCATATTAAATCACATGTAAGTATGACGCAAGTAGCCACATCATGGGAAATGAATGGAAATGAAGCCTGCTGAATCACCCTTGTGACTTGCCTCCCGACATGCCAACAAGCTTGAGTGAACATTGGCTGAATCATTTCCAGGTCTGCAGGGCCTGGCATGTTTCCTGATGACTGGATGTCCATCCTTCCAGAAGATGACTCTTCTTTACAAACGTCCTAAGGCTGCACGTGAAAGGACTGCAAAATCCGAAGGACTGGAGCTCCGAATCAAGGATCAAACAACAATAAAGGAACAGCGTTGAATTCTCTTGGCTTGAGCTTCTCTTGACTTGTGCTTTGGTTTTAGCATGTTTCAGGGCCTATCGCTCACCTACTTGGAGTTGACCTAGAACATACATCAGCCAGCAAACCTGCACCTCCAAGAAACTCACGTTCTTACCCTTGGGGATCCACAGCCAAGCTTGAACCCACTCAAATGCATGTATATAGTATTATATAGTCACATCTCTGAACGTGACCATCAGCACCGGCCCACACCATAGGGTTGATTGCACAGTCGTGAGAAAGAACGGCCACGGTCGTCTTCAATACTGTTCAGCCTCCACATGGAGCCCAGCTACTTCGGGCAAAAGAGTCCATGGAGTCCACTGAAGTGATGCTCTGACAACGGGCCAATTGAATCAGCTGGATTATTCTTAGCTGCCTGTGGATCAAAACCAGGATGCCTTCGTTGACCTACCTGGAAGGTCAAGCTATGTCAAACTACTGCACATGGTGGACCAGGGCTCCAGCTTTTAACCCATCCTCATCTGAATTTGAATCAACTGGGAGAATTGGTGTCTTCTTGTGAAACGTTGGGATAAAGGAGTGGCCTCCTATGAATACCGCTAGCTTGGACCCAGTCAGCTCATCCTATATAGCTGCCTGCTACGATCGTTCTAAAGGACTATGGAGGCCAGTTCTGCTAGGAAGGATTCTTCAAGCAAGCTTCTCCCCTTCACTACTTCCTTGAAGAACCCTCGCTATCCCTAGCTTGCTTGCCTCCTCCAAGTTCTCAACCGGTTTGCAGAAAGATTCATCCAAGGTTCTGTTTTTGCCATTCCTGACTCTCGTGGGCTTGCTTGCGATACAGATCCTAAGCTTTGATGTTGCAAATTCCAGCAACATGCACCAAGAAATGCATCGCATCGCCACCGCCCAACTATGGATTGACCAAGCTGCTGTAGTCACCAAATGAGCTCCACTGAGGAAGGCCCTGACCCTAGAAGTGCAATGTTTGCTAGGGATGCTCAAGAACTCCTTGAAGTTTGACAACTGACAACGCATGATCACCCTTACGCTCAATGGCAACTGGGCCTGAAAAGGCTTGACCTCCATTGATCGTGGCATTCGGATGGTCGGCTTTGGCTGCGCCCAGCTGGGCCTGCACGAGCTATTCCCTCTAAGCGCAGGTCGATCGAATCTTGCTCCCTCCTCCAGCAACATCATTCGCATACGCATCCTTTGCTACCTCCATTGGGGAATAACACCCAAGGAAAAAGGCTTTTCTTCGCGCAGGGTCTTATAACACTATGAGTCTATGTGGATCAGCCGCTGTCGAATTAAAACGCCATAAAACGTCCATGTCACGTGGCCAGTATGGAACAGTAGTCATCACCCTCTTGTAAAATTATACACTTCAACAGCATTGAAGGGAGGAAATGGTGACATATTATACAAGTGTCTTGCAGGATTCTACAGGGAAACGGTTGTCATATTGTCATGTTGGAAGCTTCAAGATCAAAAACTTTGCCCTAGTGGCGTAATCATGTCACCGCAAGTGGCATGGTGGACTTGGCCGCTTAACTCAGGTGAGCCGTTTGCACTTGCACTCACTAAAGGACACCATGAAAAACATCAACATCCAAGTGAGGAGAAACTTCTGAAAGAGTCGGCTGCTCGCCGTTTGCTCTCCAGCAGGCCTGGCATCTGAACCGACGGCGGCTTCCTGGAGATATCACTCGCACAGCTTTTTTCCAGTGGCCATGTAATGGTAATGATTGTCTTGGTCAAAACCACTGATACATACTGAAACAAAGTGACATGCTGCACCGGGAAGCTCCAACACCCATGCAGCAAAATAAAGCCAATCACACTCAATGCTTAGAGCAATCTGAACACATGACATCAAGAAAAGTGTGGCAGCTGATTGACGCTGTTTGATGCAAGGATTCTGTCCTGCTCCTTCCTCCATGGCGGTACTGGTCGTGATGACGGACTGGTCTTTGCCAAGGGCCTTTGGTGGAGTCGATCTGCCAAAACGTCTTGGACTTGCTGTGATGCGCGCTGGTGGCGGTGCTCCTTATGCGGCTATGAATGCAAAGCTTCTTTCCCTTGTGGGTGTTTCACTCTCCTTTCAACAGCTTCTACCAGTACCTGTCATGTATCACCGTTCCTCTTTGCACGATCACATGCGCTTGCCTCCTTGAAATTGAACACACTTGCAGGCAGCCAATCAACTTAACCAGGGACTGGTCTCCCTTCTTAGCCTTTTGTAGACTCCGCCTGGCATGATGCATGGACTTGTGTATGCCCAAGAGTCTTCCCTCTTTGCGGCTTCTGCATTCAGTCGGTCGCGTCTTTCCCAAATGCACTCCGACCCAATGTTGGATCGAGAGATAACCGGAATGGCCTCGTACACAAAATATCCCAACGCCCCCAATTTGCGCAAACGTCTACCAAACGCTCAATGTCACCAACAAATCTTCTAGCTAAAAACGATCGTAATGATGTAGATGCAACATGATAATTACAAGAGTAGCATAGCTCACACGTATCGTTGAGCAAATCTCAGTGGCAGCAGGCTGATAAAGGTGATCTAACTTTGGATCTGCATAGCCCTCTCTGGGGTCAATCCCCAGCGACTTGCTGAATGCCATGGCGGCTCATCACTATGAGCGTCAGAGTTGATGTGTGAGTTGCGGACAAAACCTCCCACTTTTTCAACATGCCACAAATCACAAACTACCATTATTTTGCAGATTCTGGAGGGCGTCAGCAGGCATCAGATCAAGTATTGTGCATCCGGCTGGTCTATTTTGCACGTCTTTGCAGCTGTTCCATTCTGTACCGGTGGTTGCACAAATGGAGCAAGTTGGTTTGTCTCATACTCATGTGACTGTTGCGAAAAGCATTGCTCATAATGAGTCGTTTATCCAGTTGATGGCTTCGATATTTTGGTGCCGCTTGGTTGACCCAAAGCCGCTGCGCTGTGATAAGGACATGCAACAAACTGTGACACACGCAAGCAATGGGATGCACCAGTAAAGTTCCAAAGAATGCACAACAAACCAGTCAGCACTGGAACACAAGCTGCAGGATCTCTTTTTTGAGGCCTTGTGTCACCCTCATTCACGCGTCCGTGTCGAGGAGCAGCACGGGACAAGCCACCGCTTGCCTGGATGGAGCTTCGGATGCCCGGCGATTAACAATGCTCCTAGGACTCCTAGTAGCTTCTTGTTACTAGTAAGAATACTCCTAGTAGCGATGCCAGGAGCCCCTAGTAGCGTCCTTGGTCCTAGTAGTAAGGCCAGGAGCCCCTAGTAGCCTCTTGCTACTATTAGTAAGGCCAGGAGCTAGTATATAGCGTCCCTGCTCCTAGTAGCTTAAGAATGCCTTTGAAGCATCTGCCGGGGCACTACGGAGCGATTTCGTAGGAGCAGAAGCCTCACAGAGAGGCTTCTGTATTATCCGTGGTCTGCTGCCTTTGTCACCAATTGAAGTACAAACTGGCTGAACCTCCTGCTGGGCGGCACGTGCCAATCGTGGAGACCTCAAAGCATTGTTCAGTTTCGACACGGGCTATGGCAAACTTTTCTCCAACCAATCTTGGAGCAACTGCGGCTCAGTTAAGGGGCAATTTCGATACCAAACAACAGTGTAACGGCAGTGTAACGGTGTTCAAATCTTCCACACTGGCCAAAAACCGCTGAGCATCAAGCGGGTGAGGAATGGCCCGTGAAGCTTCCTGAGAATCAACTGAAGTGTTTGGTGCCAGAGTCTCGCACCAAACACTGAAGCGCCCTGCATCCACTGGAACATCTCCGGCTTCGAACCTGTTGCCCGGCGCTGTCGCCCGGCGCTGTCGCCGAGCTTTCGTTTCATAGAACTGAAAGAGGGCATGATGGAGCATGCCTTTCTGCCTACTTCAGCTGAGCTTGATGCTCCAGGTCAATCTGCAACTTCTGGATATCCTTCAAGCAGCATCATCCAGGTATATCCGGGTCCATGTCTTGAGCTTCTCCCATGCTGAGCTTCATGCTGTACTTTCTGTCTTCGTGCAGCTCGTGTCCTCGCACATGTGTGCAGGAAGGGTGCACACTCCACCGGAATCCCCTGCGATGTGATTCAAAGGCTAGCTGCCTACACAAGTCTAGAATAGCAATATTTCTTCGTGAAGTAAGTTGGAAATCGATTTCTGTCGCAACATGTCGCAACTCAACTTTTTCACAATCACTAAGGTGCTGAGGGTGAGACAAAGTCAGTTGGCTCATTCAATTTCGATGCCAGAAGGCTGCGAAGCTACTTGGATCACCTAAACCTCTTGCACTTCTAACTCTAAGACGATCTTGCGCTCTTTCGTGAGCTCGTAGCTGGTTCGTATGCGTTTGTGCGATATGCCCAGATCTCCCAGGATTCGTTTCAGACTTAGCACCCGCCCTTGGGCATAAGCCATCTCCAAGTCCATGACTGCCCAAGGAAAGTCCTCACTGAAATCCTTGCCAAAGGCCGACCTGACAATGTACAAGTCCTTTTCGGCCATTTTGCTCGTCGTGCAGCCTTTGACATGTAGTTTGAGGCCGGGATACTCCTTCATAATGCGGACCACCTCCTCGATAAGCTCAAAGTTTTCGGCAATGTAGGACACGTCCCAGCTTCGTTGGATCTTTTCTTCGATTTCAGCCTTGGGAGCTGCATCACTCCATTGGTCTGCAACAAAGTTGATGCTCTTCTTCTTCAGCAGTTCTTCCAACTCCTCTTTTCCGCTTCTCAACTGTTCTTCTTCTGGGATCGCGGATTTTCTTCGATGGCCACAACAGCAAGCGCAGCAGGAATACACCTCCAATCCAAGGAATGCTATTTTTTTAAAAAAAAAGTCAAATCGGGGCCAGCATGGTAGCCGGTGAGTGGAAATTAGAAGAACCCGAACGCAACCAACAAGTCCTTGAAATCAAGTTTGTCCCTCGACATGATTCACATCACCTTTTCTGTTTGATCTGTGGCCTCCGTGCTGACCCGGAAAAAATCCCCAGCCTCGCAACAGCAAACACACGTCAACACTAGAAGCAACGCCATCATGAAAAGCACCATGGGTCGTCGACATGTTGGTCTTCTCATCAGTGTGGCAATGCAGGTGCCCAAGGGTGCTGGTCGATGTGATTGACCAATCACATACTTGAGCTGATAGGGGGAATTGCCTTTGATCTGGTCGTTGTCGCTCTCGGCGTGCTCAATCTGCTCGGTCGGGACGCCATGTGATTGATCGATCCAAGCACCCAGAGCAATGAAAAGGGACAAACTCACCAAGATCAAAGCACCCCGACCAAAGCTTTTAGCTCTGCTTGGTCCTGGGTCCAAGTTCTCCATTCTGACCCCATGAACTAAAGGTTCCAACTCAGCATCCATGGCTTTGCATGGTGATGTATTTTGAGCCTCTCACTGTGTCAATTTGCAAACGCATGCAAAGGGTTACATCGATTCAAAAGTAATCAAACGATGCGGTTTGCAAGCCAACTTGACCACACCGGCCGAAAGTAAACACAGCACAATGCATCAATGCCATTCGAGCACCAAAACGCATAGCCACACAAACTGCAAGAATCTGCAAGGTGGTTCCTGGTCCATGTAAGATTCCTCTTTGGCAGGAGGCCTCACACAAGTCACCAAATGGCAGTCTTCATCACACTTCCCACTATCGCACTCCTGACACTCCTAGTCGGCAAAGGCCTCTCATCAGTATGCAATGGTGCTTCCGCCTGACCTGGCCGAAATTGATAAAGGTGCTTACATAGTAACTTGTTGTTCATTCCACTTCCACGCAGTTTATTGTAGAGATCCTCGATACTCTGCTTCGCCTTAATCTGGATCCACCGTATGGGATCCAGCAAAAGCGGCCATATTACTACAGTAGAAATACTTACATGTACAGTAAAAAATTACTACAGAATATCTACAGTATGCGTATATATATATATATAGCATACAGTATATAACTTTCACATCTACTGTACCGTATATTAATAATTCAATTCCTCTGTGACACCGCGAGCGAGCATCTCTTTCTGCGGCTGGAGCAAGCAGTCCCCAACAACCCAACTGGGTCCGACAGGGCTTCACAATGCGACACCCACCTGAATGACGGCAAAACATCAGTTTTTGTATCTGCAAAACTGTGACCTCCTTAAAGCATCCCATCCCTCAGGCCTCTGACAGGTCATGATGGCGCACAGTGACCTCTCCAAGTTGCTGATGGATCTGCTGCACTTGCCACGCCTGAGGAAAGTTGCAACCGTTGTTCTTGATACACTAGACTCGGAGCATGAATCAAAGGCCTCGACATTGGACACATTGGCAATTTCTTTAACACTTTTTAGCACATATTCACCCAAACCCAATAATAAAGGATGTCATCCATTCGATTGTCTTGGGAACCTGGCCTGCATTCCTTTGCACGTCCTGTTATTAGGCATGTCCCAGCCTCAAGATCCCAAAGTCCTTTACCACCTCGACAGTGGACAGGACGGAGTAGCTCGACTGCTTTTGAAATCACATGGCATATCCTTGGCAGGAATCCAAAGACCCCGTGCATTGCGCTGGTGAAGGTTCCAAAAGCGTGGTGGGCGTGCAGGCTGAAACAAGTCTACGCACCAATGCGAATGGGCATCGGCCCACGCGCCCACACATATGAAGGGCAAGCCTGCAACTTTCAAGCTGGGTCAAAATGGTCTCTCTCTTTTTCTTGTGAACCAACTGCAAGGCAATGTTTGTGAAAACCCGAAGGCCTGTGGCGTGGTGTGACTCTGCACATAGAACAGCCCTGAAGAGGGAGTTGCATTGGACGAACGGGTAAAACTTCTTGGAATGACTTCACAGTAATGTGGCCCTCAGATTTATAAAGACCCCTAGAATTATGTCTTTTTTTTCCCTGCACTGATCTATAAAGGCCCCTAGAATAATGTTTTCTTTTTTGGGATGGGTAGTTGGGAATATTATTTCCTTTTAAGTTAATATTGCCAGAGGTCTTCAAAGTTAGGAATTCTTATTTCCTTTTAATTTAATATTGCCAGAGTAGCTCCAGAGGTAGCTAGCTAAGGATTCCTTATTTAGTTATCAACTGATTGATTTTCTTATACATTATTTTGGAGGCCTTGGCTGTTGAGGGAGGAGGGGGGGGGGGAGTTTATAAATCAAGGGACTACATTAACAACAAAAGAGGTTCAGTTGCATAACTCTTGATTCGAACCATGACCAACCTTTGGAGAATGTGTGATGAGGTAATGAGAATCCACTAAAGGTCCAATGCTGCATCACATGTACATGTCCTAATATGCATCCGTCTCTTGACTTGCCAATAAACAACAACTACTAGTAGGAAATACGACGAGCGTCACCAGGCCAAAACAATCAGGGTTGGTAGCAGTCTGCATCGGGTGTTTTGCGCACGAACGCAGGATTCGGAACATGAAAGTTAACCCGGCGGCATGGGTAACCGTAGCTCGGCAGCTTCGCGATCGGTTGATTCATGGGTGAGACAAGGCAAATCGAAGCCATAATCCAAGTGAGCAAAAACGCTGAAATGATATGTGACTCACGACGGCTTCAGCGCCCCTTGCGGGGATCACACTGCGCACCCAGGTGGGAAAGCACAGCAATACGCACTTAGTCACAAGTTCATTCAGTACCGGAATCCACGAGGAACTGAACGAGGGAACGGAAAGGTGCAACGTCAGCGCAACTGAAGTGTTCAAGAAAGTTTCACGTGACTGCAAAACGCGGCGGTGGCAAGCAGCTGGAAAAGTGGTGGGAAAGGTTTTGGGGTCTACCATGAGAACAACCATGGCAGCAAAACAAAGCGGCGGAGGAGTGGAGTGTTGTCATCAGCAGGTACGTCAGCTCCGCGTCCGGAGCTGATATCCTCACCATGTGTTGCCAGCTTCGTTGATGGAGAAGCAATAATACAGGTGTCTCCATCCATCCCAAAGCACCGAACAGGTGCCAAAATGCTGCCGTGAGCTAGGACAACCAAAACATCCAAGCTGGTTTGGAGGAGCCAGCCAAGCATTGAAAGGCTGTGAGACAAGTGAAAGAAAATCTCCATGCCGAGGGTTGCATTCCCGCATGCTGGCACTGAAAGCTCATGCGAAGCGACCACATTCTGGGATCGGACGTCTGAACTTAGCAAATGCAGCAGGTGAGTGTTGGGTTTCTTGTACTTGTGCCACGTTCACTCAGTGGTTCAATAGTTTAGACAGCTGTGGTGAGTATGATGTCAGATCAGTACACGCATAGCTCGACCATCTGGACCCGAAGAACCAAAGCAGAGAGAGAGAGAGAGATCTCAAGTGATCGAACTAGACCCTAGCAACACTGCCACAACCCTAGTGTCCGAAGCAAAGCACACAACTCTTGCAAACGACCAAGTGGTAGCACAACAACTGTGGCAATCCCTCTACTATCCCCTACTGGCTAGCTTGGCTACTCGACACAAGAAGACAACACTGCTGGCGTTCGCATGTGAACGTATTGGCGGATCTGCTAGATTGCTACAGTATCAATCCTTTTGACTGATCTAACAGCATCCCTTGCCAAGTCTCCCAGGATTGCGCTGTGAGGAAGTGTCTCCTCTGCAGGCGCCGTGGGCCAAACTGCTCTGATCCTTTCAGCACGCTCTTCGTTGATCTGCTGTGCACCGGCATGTATTGCATACCACCCCACTGGGATCCTGGTCCAAAATTCGTTCAATTGCTTCATGAAGCGCAAAACAAAGACACGAGAACAAGCGACCTCAATTTGGATGCTTTGGGGATCTTTTGGAGATCCTCGGAGCCACAATTACTCGGTCTCTCCTCCAGGCACGGTTTTCAATCCTTGGTCATCTCAAAGCCAACAAATGCCTTAGCCCTGACCCAACTGATTTGACATATATTTGACGGAAATAACTTCATATGAATCACTGATTCGGCTCAGCGTCAGCTTTTTTCCGCGGAGGATCGCCAGTACTTGTTGTGCTCCCTGCAGTGTTAGTGCCCGCCGTGCCAATAGCAGTTCTGGGTCCTCGAGGCGAACAGGGAAATTGTAGTCATTGCGATGCTTGTGTAAAGCATGCATGGATGCGTACAGATCGTCAGGGCACAAGTTCTTGATACATCTTTTAAGACCAATTCATCCTTCTAGTATTGGCCAAGGAACTTTGGAAAATCATGGAAAATCACAAAATCCCGAAACGTCTACTTTTGCTTCCGCTTAGCAATGCAGCTTCTCAAGGCTGCATGCATGCAGGTGTGGACGCATACTCTTCAACTGGAGTTGCCATGAATACAGATACGGTGATACAGTATAGTTTGCATAAGAGCTTTCCTATGTTTGGTGCATTGTTTGTATAGTTGCAATATGTTGAGTTGTCATTTACCCAGCAACCCCTTTTGATTCCTAAGTGTTCCCGGACAACAGGTTTGCAGCTCAAAAAAGCATTGCTTGAAGGTACTACCACGATATCAACGAAGCCCGTCAAGTAGGAAAACATAGTCTTTTCCAAAGAAAACTCACCGCGACGCAAAGGTATCATGAATCCCCTGCCCTTTGCTGCTAACTGGTAAGAAATTGCTAAGCCACACTCTCCTCTCTTGCAGGACGTTGCTCCAGTTTACTTGGTGGTGGAGCTGGAGCTGGTGGCACTCCACTATCGACCACAGTTCCTTTGCATGCGATTGGGAGTGAGCATGTGATACAACATGTCCTAATACCTGTAGCAGCGGATGATGATGGTTAGTAAAGGCCTTTTTGAAAAAATAAGAAAATCGTGATAATTGTTGACTGACTGTTACAGGTAAAGGACAAACCCAAAACATATTCAAATCATTCATGGAAGCTCATTCTGCAGCTGAATCTCGTTTCGGTAGCGAGTAGAACGATACTCCTGACTGGCATCCCTCATGCAAGACCACTTTGGCCAGCGGCTTGTAAATGTAGTCCTCAAGCTCTGACAAGCTCCTGTCGCGCCGGAAAACACCAGTCTCTGCATGGAGTTCGATGTGTTGCCCTGCCTGGCATCTGTCCACTTGGCAGCTTTGTACCAAGATTGTTGTGCCTAAGTGAGATCCAAAAAAGAGAGCAAAAGACAGGTTGATACAATGAAAGTGAATGCATGGCTTGGCATGCGTGGAGAAGCACACAGAGTTGAATTGCAGCTCTTTCAGCCGTAGTGCTATGGGCTCCTCAAACAGGATCTGCTTGTCCGATGCCCTGGCTGTGGCCAGTACATCCAATACTCGATCCACGACTAGTCTTTAGTCTGTCGCAGAAAACCTCCCCGCCTGTCTTGCCTGGAAAGGCTTCCAAAGCCGCAGGTATCCCATGTAGACCAAGACACTTCCAAAGGAATGCACTCCCTCATGCCAGGCTGTTTCCTAAGTCGGGCGTGTTTTCCCAGATTGATGGTTGATGAGGCAAGTCTAGTTAGTAACCAAGCTTCACTCTCAGCGTGTGAGGGATGCAGTCTTGCCTCAAAAGTGCAGGCACACCCGCAATGGGAAATCATTGTTTTGTTTGTCCCGTGCGAACGAGCTGCTCGTTGACAAACAAAATGATCGAGATTCGCTGCTTTCTTGACCCTGTCCCTTCAAGCCCAGCTGGTGCTGCGGGAACCGCATGCTTGAAGAAATTGTTGAACGGCCTCCGCAGTGGTATTGATTCGAGGCAAGTGGGTGCCGAAACCAGCCCCTTTCTCAACAACCTGGACTGACTGACTCTGACTGAGCCCAAAATGCTTTGTCGCCACCAAGTCACTCATCAAACGCGAACACGTCGCCATTTTCTTGCCACACGTAATGCTCACCTTGCACAGGAAACATCTCCTGAAAAAACAATGGCCTGAAAATACAGAACTGATCAGAACTGCTTTCCAAGTGTCTCTTCGTCTTCGCGTTCTGGAAGGCGAGAGCACGAGTGGCTCCCAAGCTGATTCCAATTGTCGCCGTCGGCCTTTCAGAGTTGATGAACCTTGAAGCCTTTCTGACTGCATTAAAGGTTCTTTCCGCTCCAAGGCGCCAAGTAGCGTCCTTGCTCCTAGTAGCGAAGCTCTTTGTTACTAGTAGCGATGCCCTTAACAATATAATTAGACGCCCGCCTTGGCGTCCAGTCTTGGTAGTTGTCGTGGTGCCAAGATTTCACATCGTCAAGCGAACGGTAAAGGTTGGCCCAGCAGTCTACCAGGGTCAAGTCAAACATGGCTAAGGCTTTCGTTATCCTCGGATTGTCTCCAGTTGGCCCTCTTTCCTCGCTTGCAGGTTTGGGATGCTGTACCCGATTCCGGCTTCAAGCACTGATATTTTTGTATATAATACATATATACACTATTTGCTATGAATCTTTGGACACCAACCATTAGAGCTTGAAGAATACTGTAGGGACATCGGCAAGTTGACAACCCTTTTCGCTTCCAAGGCCCAAGTTTCACTTGTGCAAACGGCACAGATCCCGACCTCAGCGACCAAGCGCACGTCGCACACGGAGACAGTCAGGCAATCAGGCAGGCAACTCTTTCACTATCTAACATGGATTTGTTGTATCTTTGGGATCTCTATTCAGCTCGCTTCTTCTTCTGTGACACAAGGCCATACCTACGCCCAGCTTTTCAGGCCAGGATCCTCAAACAAGTCTCTTCCAGCTTTGGAAACTGCCAGGCCATGGTGGCTTGAGATGGGACGTAGGAACATGTGTGGCATGTTCGGTTCACTTGTCACTGAAAAATGCCGTATCAAACGTATCATGGCGAGAACGTGTAGCATCTAGAATGAGATGAGATGAGATGTGCATTATCCTGTTTTTCCGGGGACTTACAGCAAGTCCGGGGATCGACTAGCTACGGCTTGCCAGGTCACAATGCATCACCCCAAATTTGCAAGTGCTTGCGACTCCTGGCGGTAGTAACAAGAAGCTACTAGGAACGAAGGGCATCGTTACTAGGAGCAAGAAGCTACTAGGTGGAGGCCATCGTTATTAGGGTGGAGGCCATTACTACTAGGGCATCGCTACTAGGAGCGATCGGCCGCTACTCAGGAAGACCTGACTGGGTGTGTGGGAGTCCGTGGGCCACCTGTGAGGTCCAAGAGCATCCCCTCTTTCTCGGTAACCCGCATCCTGGCGGCCAAAGGTGGATCGAGATTTCGGCAAATGTGACACACACACACACAAACACGTGAACTCTGCTTCACTTCATTGTCAATCTAGTTTTCGAGTGTTTGAGGTTGAAGCAGCTGATACCTACGATATCTGAAACCCAGGTGCCCTCCTGCTTCACAACAGAATGCAACAACAAAAGGCACATCTGACATTTGTGAGCTGCTGAGCTGCCTCTATATCAATAGCAAGTGCATCGAACAGCGTGAAATCGTCTTTTGCACCTGGTGACCACAAAGCATGAACAAAGTACCACCACACCCCTTGCTTGCCCTTACTGCTACTGTTTTTTGACCTCCCAAAAGCCGAAAACCCCAACTTCTCTGGTAGCTCCGAGCCTCTAGACAATACACACAAGCTGAGTGCCACACACACAGCTTCAGGCATATGCAAACAACTTCCAGCTTCTTGAAGCTCCAAAGGCGTCTCCGAAAGGCATCCACGTTGCCGTGCCCTGGATTGCATGCAAAAGAAGAAGCTTGAAGATCTCCGATTGATCTCCGATTGCTCTTGGTAGCAATGTGTTGCATGCAATTAATGTACACTGACTCTGATTGGTCCTTAACTATGCTACACCATCTCCACAAGCCAGCGTCTATTCCGTACTTCTGCCCTACATTGAATCTACCTCGCCTTGCAATGGCTCCTTCGCGATCCAAATGGGTAGTTGGTGGAACGTGTGCTCCAAGGGGTCTGTACAGAGCCATGGCATGGGCTGTACGAGAGGCAAGGGAAAGGGAATGTTAACGGACTATCTTACGACTCCTCACAGGCTGAATCTGACCCGTCAATTGCATTTATGGGCTGAAAACGTCGCACTTTTTGAAAAAAAAAGGAACATCCAAGTGATTCAAAAAGTTCTTCCTTGGAACGAAGAGAGGGTTCCTATATAGGTCATCAAAATTTTGCAGCTTGGCAACTAGGTACATATATTCATATAGTTATATATTATATATAACTACTATATATTACTACATAATGGCTCCGTGTGATCCACCAAACAAAGTGTGGCTCAACGCCTGCGGCTTGCATCTGAGCAGCGTGCAAGCAAAAGTCATGGAACATCCAATCAGACACAAAGACGTCAAAAAAAGACAATAGTTTTTCCCAAAGAGCGCCTCACAAATCAGAACTATCCATCCCGGTCTCTGATGAGACAGCGCGAGAATCAACTTCACAGGTGGTCATGTGACCAAAAACAACGTACCGCCAAGCATCAGGATTTGAACCGTATAAGATCCTATAAAATCCTATAAGGCCCAGCAGTTCCCAGAGGCCTGAGACAGGAGAAGTGATTTGTCAGGCAGGGCAGCCTTCGGTGCCGCTGCACTGGTCAGGTTGGAACATCAAAGGGTAGCCTCGCTGATCGGCTCCTTGAGCACATGTTCGAGACTATCCACGTTGCCTTTGCCCGAGGGGTCTGCTTTGCCACTCCTGACTGGTCTCACGGAGTCGGTTTTGGCACTTGCATCATCGATCATGGGTGCCAGGCGTCCAGTCATCACTTGGATTTCGGTGCCTTGGATGCTTTCACTTCCATGTGAGGTGAACTTTAGTGCCAAAACGTTGAAGAGCCTGGCATAAGCAGCTCGCACACCTTCAAAGTCCGTGTCAAAACCATCGAGTGTCTTCTCGGAGAAGATCTTGCCATCTGCCAGATTCTCCCAGAAAGTGGGGTCCGGATAGATGAAGGACTCATCTGCCTTGATGGGAACGAAGTTGGCCCGAGCTCCTTCAGGGCAGGCTGCCACCGTCCCGGCGAAGGTGGGCTCGTGAAGGACTCCCTGGGTCAAAATCACCAAAATGACTTTTGCACTTCCCATCCTCAGATTTGTCACGAGCAGCGATGCTTTGCTTTTGGCCTTTAAAAAGGACAAGAGCAATTGGAAAACACAGTTTCTCAAGCGCAAATCCAAGCATCTGCGTAGCAGCAGCATCCAAGTCCTTGATGGCTTCAGTAGGGTCCACCACGTGCACCGGCTCCTGAAGCTTGGATTGTAAGAGTGATTGAATCACTCGGCAGCAGCTACCTGCTTCAGGTGTAACCAGGTCACCCAGCATCAACAAGGTGCTGGTGGAGAGACCGGAATCGGCTCGCTTCAGTCCCATCGCCAATCTGGAAAGCATGTTGGTGGACAAGCCCTTGCATTGAGCGATTACGTCCTTTGCCACCTTCTGGTGCAACTCCCCGTTGGCCCCTTTGCGATCAAGCTTGAGGGACTCGCGCGACAAGAGCCCTTGGTAGGAGTCCAAAATCATAGTCATGGAAACCCCTGCATTCATCAAAGTTGATTGCTGCTCCTCTGTCCACAAGCTTGGAACTGACTCAATGAGCTCCTGACAAAGCAGTTTTGAGATTTTGGATTGCAAAACAACAGCAATCAACAGCATACATGGACGCATCTACTTTGCTACGGAAAGAGTTTCCCCACACAGCGGTCCTGAGAAAGACCATTTCCATCGCAGCTGACCAGAACAATGTTGGTTTTGGCCGCCCATGCGCTGGCGATCTCTGCAGCACACCACATGCGCTTCAGGGTCTCCTGGGTTATCAAAACGACCACATTCTCGCAATCCCAGGCGGTGACGTCGATAATCGCATCCAACTTGCTCACATCATCTGAGTCCAGGAAAATCTTACTGGTCGTGTGCTCACCCAAAAGCATCTTAAACCACCGCGATAGAACAGCGGCACCAAGTTTATGGTGGCTGAGGAAGATGCCGTAGGTGCGAGATGGCCGGTAGGTGCGGTATGCAGCAAACGAAAATGCCACGACCAAGCCAACAAAGGCCACGACCGTGCCAATCATCAAAATGACGGAGACGACGGTCGTCCCCCTCTCAGGGTCAAACTCCAACAGCAAACTGCCAACCACGATCACAAGCATCAAGAACAATGCCAGGCATGCATCCATCAAGTTTGAGATCAAAGTACGCCAAGGCCACATTCGTGCTTGAAGAAGGGCATAGACTGCAATAACCAACGTAAGCGACAGGAATTGGAGCTCGTTGTATGCAACCAGCAAGACTGGTAAGATACCAATGAGAAAGTTTCGGAAGTTGAGAACCAGTGCGAAGTAGTAGGCATCTGGTGAAAAGCGGCTGAATATAAACTTGTACCGCTTCACAAATTTCACCCCGTTCGGACTGGAGACCTTGACAGGATATTGGATCACAGCCCAAATCACCAATGCCATAAAGGTGCAAACACCTCCAAAGAAGGGCAAAAAGGAAAGTGCCACCATCCAAGAATGCCCGGCATCACGCCAGCAAATCACATTACGATAGGCCGTCATGGAGGAGGTGCCATCAGGGTTTCCCACACATTGGAATGGTCTCACAGCCAGCGATGTGAGGGCGATGTACACGGCCGAAACGATCAAACCTTGCGCGTTGACCACCTCGTTGAGGGTAATGTTCTTCTTCAGCACATACTTCCCGAAAGCGAAACAAAGCATGATTCCTGTTGCCGCAATGGGGTACATCAACAGCGAGCCAAGGTAGTTCAACAAGGGGTTCATCGTCCCCAGGAAGCAGCCAGGCCGAAGGATGCTGATGTCGAAAATGAGGAATGAGAAAATACCCCGAAGTGTCTGCAAAGGCTCCACCCACTGCACCTCCACCTTGCTAAATGCTGAAAGGGCTTGCAAAGTTGCAAGGACCAATCCCGCTCCGATCGTCACCGTCATCATGGAGTCCCTGTGAGGCTTGTCCATTTTGGTGGCAAACTTGTAGAGGCCGACGAGAGCGACGAGGAATAGAGCCAACGCTGCAAGAAGGGGCCCCAGCGCAAAGCCTGCATCAGCACAAGAATAGCACAGCCCATTGTCAGAATAGTGGTCAGCAGCACAGTCTACACAGGCTATGCCAACATTGTTTCCCGGACAGTCCCCCAAAGCAAGATCACCTGGACATGTGTTGGTGCTGCCGCATTCGACAATGTAGCTTGGATCTCCACCGTTGTATGCCGGAGCACCTGCGGCATACATTTGAGCTTGCAAGGGTGCTTGGTGGTTGGGCACACTGCCATTGTTGCCAGCACTCTCGCGACCTCCCAGGCAAACCAAACCCAAGCCACATTCCTTGCAGAATGCAACCGAGCTTGCTGGGTCTGGCCTGTGCCAAAAGGTCTTGGCTGGGCAAACACACTCATGGCTGTAGCGAGAGTTCGGGTACAAAGTGGTACTTCCTGGAATCACCTGCTCGCAGCCCAAGCAAGGCAAAACCGTGCCGACGGGGGTTACATCCGCAGGATCTTTGTAGGCTCCCACATCGCAAAAGCAGAAGGTCTGACCAAGATCAGACTGCGAGCTTTTGCTTGGACATGCCTTGCAAGTCTCCAAACCCGTGACATCTGCGTAGGTCTGAGCAGCGCACAGGATACATCCGCCAATGCTGTTTGCAGCGCGCGAGGTGCCCAAAGGGCATGCATTGCAAACACCCCGATCGGAGTTTCCATTCTGGTACCTTCCCGCAGGACAAGCAGGGCATTCCAAAAGCCCAGTTTGCCCCGGCAAAGTTCCATAGCCTTCCGGGCAAAGGTCACACTCTGAAAAGTTGAGCCCCATGCTCAATGTAGACCTCGCGCGGCCCTCAGGACAAGCCACGCACTCAGTAGGCACAGGAAGCAAGCCAGTAGCATAGGTGCCTGCTGGGCAGCCAATACGAGCATCCCAACTGGGACTAGGAAAACGGAACTGCGTGGCAGCAGCTTCAGCAGGCAAGACTGGCCTCAGGAGGGTTGTTGTGGTGCCCCCGCTACACCATACTACACTACTCCCTCAGCTCGTCTCAGGCCCAAAACACTTAGTGGCAATAATTGAATATGCATTCATAACAATTTCACCCACCCATCACCTTGTGTTTCCATCTTCAAGGACCTGCCAATTCACACTCATGCGGCCATTGTTCTGGTTGAAGCGGTTGAAGCGGACCATGCCGAACAAGGTCTCATCGTTCAGGGTGCCGACAGAGACACGGACCTCCTCACGTCTTTGAGCCGTGCTCAAACCAACCAAGGACTGGCCATACTTCTGCAAGCCGAAGCTCAGGGAGATGCCTGCAAACGAAAGCTCTAGAATCAGTGCTTCAAGAGTGGCAGGGGGTGCAAAGTTCAATATGGTTCAATGTGTTATCTGCACTGTACCTTATTTGTTTAGGTACAGGTAGGGAATGGCCCCTACAGCAGTAAGGTGCAATGTGGTGGGTGGTGCGGTGCACGATGTAAGCAAGTTGGGATGTTCAACGCCTGTCAGCCGAGACCTGACACATTGTAAGAGCGATGGCCTCCAACCTAAGAGCGATGGCCTCCAACCTACAAGTGTCAACAAATGTCCGAGGAAAGGACAATGCTCTGCACCCCTGCTGGCTGGTTGGTGTCGGGTGGGCTGGTCGGGCCACTTCAAGGTCATAAAACAAGCAGTCAGCAGAAAAACAACAAGGACAACTGCGGTCCAGTGCAATGATGTTTGGTGCTTTTTTTTCTAGCTTACCTTGAACTTGCACTAGTGCTTATAACCTTCTGCTAAATGTGCAGTGGATGAGCTCAAGCCTTTCCTGAGTTAGCGCAGCTAGCTCATGATGACCCGACACTGTGATGAGGCAGCTGACTGCCAAGTTGTGTTGTTACAAGTGAGTGGCCGACAACTACCACTAAACGCACCTGTTTTGCCTTGAGCCAAAGTAGCACGAGTGAGACGTAGAATACATAACACTAGCGTGAAACAACATCCCCCGCTGAACGAAAATGGGGAGGAGTGAAGACTATGGCAACCGGTCCCCCGGTACGTGCGATACGGACGAAACCGGTTCCTGCCTTTGAGATGGAGAGGATAGTTGACCTCAATGGCAGAAGAATCACTGACATGTTGATGCTAGTGTTCACTCGTACTGCAAAGCTATATACACAACGAAGTCCGCTCAAGAAGAAACAGCACGATCTTTTGACGCATTGGCGGTAAGTGCACGATTGGCCTTACAGAAAGCAGGAGTATCACCGGTCGGCACACGCTCCCGCGTGGCGAATCAGCACTACAAAAGTATGTGCGTCTCTTGACCTTGCAATGTGACAGGTACTTCGACCTTCGACATTCGAATTAAATCTTGCTGGCGCAATAGCGAAGTTCGGCATCCGGTCCCCCGGTGCAACACAGAAGCGATCATCAAGGGCAACCGCTCCCGCGGTGCGATGGAGGAAGAACAGCCTCACAGTTGAGAGCCATGCTGCCTTTTGGACGTTTTCTTTTTGTTTGGTTTTTGGCTTTGGTTCCAAAGGCAACGACTCCCGTCGTGCGAATGTTCCTACCAGTTGCGTGAGCTCCACCAGTCACGGTTCCAGCGATCGTCACGCTGCCATTGGCTTGAGCGGTTCTGCCACCATCCTTGATTCCAATCTCCGCCGCGATTCCATGATGAGGACGATGATGACCATTGAGACTGGTGCCAATCTTGGTGAGCTCGGGCCTGATCGTGCGCGGCCCTCGCCAGGGCTTTTGCTGATGCAGAGCCTGCTTTCGCTCGAGGCACGACCATAGTCCTAGTCTCTTTGCCAAGCTGCAAGTCGACGTTCGGAATGAAGGCGATGTCCTCTGCGATGAAGTCGAGCAGAAGCTGGAGAAGCTCATCGGGATCCTGTTCATCAGTCTTCCACTCGGAGTGGAATCCCAATATTGGTGGGCGCTTTGCATTCTGAGCGTAACTTGCTGCAAAGACCTCAGGGCGGTAGAGCCTATTCTTCCAGTAAACCAGGAAGTCCTCGCTCATGTCTGCCTCTCCCACCTTCTCAGGATCGTTGATGTAAATCAACTTCCCAGCATAGCGATGGCCGACACCTTGCATGATCATCTGGTGCGTTCTTGGTGGGTCCGGGATGACCGCGTTCGCCAATTTCTCCAAGAAGCTAATGCAAAGTGGTGACAGATCTTGCGCCGCGCAGTTGAAGGCATACAGAGGATCTGTCAGTTGCCTTTGCGAGATGGTCATGCCCATCTTGTCTGCTTTGTTCACATGGCTGCGAGCATTTGACTTCAGGATGTTGATACCTGATCGCGCAGCTCGTGGATCATGGCCATGCGTCCCCGCAGGCGTGTTGCGAATGCCGGTTCCCTGCAGCCGGTCTTCTTGGACCATGTCAAGCGAGAGTTCAACGCCCATCTCTGAGGTGATTTCCTCCATTTGTAGAGTTTCCAAATGGTCTTAACAGAATACGGATGTATACCGGTAAGCGCTAAAAAAGAAAAGATGCGCGGCAAAGACACTATCCAGCCACACGCGGCGCGCAAAACTTACTGAGGGCATGGAAAGTGACGAGAAAGCTGGTCCAAATGGAGGCTCCATTCGGATGACCTGGGCGGCCTTGCAGAGGTCCGACGCGGTGTTCAAAAAGGCACCGCGCTTGCCACAACACATAGGTGGAGTTCACAAGTGGGACAGTGCCCTTCAGGCATTTGAATCCCCTCCACCACAAGCCACTGTGTCTTGCCATAACCCTCTTTCGCTGGATCACAGGCTCGAAAGTCGAACCTTGGCCGGTTGTAGTTCGGCAGCATATCCGTATAGGGCTGATGCTATTGCGATTTGCCCGGAAATTTGGCCGCCGAGTAACAAATATGGTCTCAAGCACCTTGAGATCCGGCAGGTTCTTTCCAGCCTTCATCTGATCCTTGACACCCTCAACCAGGTACTGACTGCCGAAGATAAAGGGGTGAAATGTGGTCACCTTGCCACACCACCGATCGTAATCATCGAGGACATCTTTGGTGGAAGATTCCAACCCCGATGTGATCAGCTCTTCATCTCCGGCAAGCGGTCCCCCGCTGCGTGCTTCATGGAATGCCTTCCTCTTCCCCTGGAAGCTTGCACGGTAATGGGCATACACGTGATTAGCGTACAAGTAGCACGCATTGGACATGTCATACACAAACATGACATAGCGACATGAGATCCAATCAGGGCAAAGGATAGTACCGGCCGTCGTTTCCACTAGGCGATGTCCATGGACTGCCATCATATGCAAGTCAAGAGCAATGCAGACGGGCCGAGTTGATGCCATAGCTGCATAGTCTGTCGTGCTGATGCTCCATGGGTCCTCCTTGATGAGAAACGTGTACATGTCTCCGGTCCTGTTGCCCCCAGGAATCAATCCGATGTTGATAATGTCCTGAATGGAGATGGGTGTAATGGTAGAGGATGGTCGGCTGAATGTCCTCAACACGTCCGTGGGCGTTCACTGGCGCACGAGGGAATTTGCCGCTGTTGTACTCGGCAACGCCATACTCCGGGTCGAGCACAATGAAGCGCTCGCTCCGGCAATGCCTCTTCCACATTCTGGTAGGACCTGTCGTTGTGAGACGAAGTGGCGTGTATTGTCTCTTTCCCCCGACCAAAGTCCCCTTTGGCGCCACCTTGGTTTCCATCATGAACCTGTGGTTGCTCGTGAGGACAACACCAACATGTCATCGACGGTCAATGACTGCATGTACTTCTTCTTGATGTACATGTAAGACATGGTTGAACTCCATCCAAAGACCCTTCTGAAATGCCGGTGGTGGGAAGCGGTTCCGCTTGTTGGTGTGCTCCCATCCCCGTAGCAAGCCAGAAATGCGGCGTGACAGCCACACTTGGTCAGAGTTGAGGCGTTCCAATTTGGAGGCTCCGGGCACGGCCCTGGACTGAAGTGCCACCACCTGGTTCTCGGAAAGCGGTGAAGTGGCCCCCTTTGGCATGGGTGGTGCCTTCGGCTGTACCTTAGGCATCATCTTTGGCTGGACTGCAGGTTTCTCCGTGACAGACGTAGTTTGATCGGCCACGGCTCCCGCCGGGCGTTCCTTCGGTTTTGGCTGAGGCTTCGGTGCATGCTTTTCAACAGCAACGGCCTCGGCTCCCGCCGGGCGTGCGTCCGACGACGATGCAGTCTCTTCTGAGGACATCTTAGAAGCCTTGAACTTGGGCTCTTGCGATGGCTCTTCAACATTTCTTTTGGCTGGTGGGCCATCAGCTGAACGAATCTTGGTCCCCTTCTTCTCCTTTGAACCTGGATCAGCTCCTCCACGGAATTCAGTGACTTGCTTGAATTTCCTGAGGGCCTCACCCTCGAGCTCTGGGATCGCGTCCTCATCAGTGTAGATTCGGACGATATCTGGCTCTTCTGGATTGAGGCGTAGCTGATACAATACCCCTTGCACTTTGAAACCTTCATCTCGCATTGAATCAGGCAGGTGCGTGAGGATAGGTTTGTCAAACAGGATCTCTTCGTCGGGGTCCTCGTCGTCATCTGGCTGGTCGACATTCTCATGTCCTCTAAGTTCCGCAGCAGCGATGTGCGGTTCAAGTAACTCCAAGATTTGCTCCTCATCATCAAGAGGATCAATCATCACCAGAAGTTCGTCTTCCTCGGTGAGCTCTGGTGGCACGGTCTCTTTGTCACCATCGGCCGGAATGGGCACATTCGCAGTGACAAATTCCATACCAGCTGCAGAGGCTGGAGCCTGATTGTTTTGATCGCGGCCGTCCGTCCCCGGAGGCGTGGTCGTAGATGGATCAACGGTCTCATCGATCTCGACGACCTGAGGTTCATCCACTTCCATCTTGTCATCCTCCTTTGGCTTGGACGACGATTCAGGAACACCCAAATCTGCGTCAGTCGGAATCAACCATTGGCCCGCGGTCCCCCGCTGCTGATACGCCCTCACATTGAATGGCAACTTCCGTGCGGCTTCAATCTCCTCTTGGGCGGCGTCTACCCACTCGCCCCAATCATCGAGGTGTGCAATTTCCTCAAACTCAGTCAGCGTGACTTTCTTGCCAGTGCCAGTGATGGCAGTCTGGCGCATCTCTCCGGGGTACGGCTCGTACCAGTCACCAAGACACAGATAGCCCTCATCGAACCGTTTGTTCCACACCCGCTCCCTCATCAATGCCTTTCGCGTCTTGTTTCCTCTCTGTTTGGCAAAAAGATTTGCGTCTTTGCGGAGGATGTCTACACCGGACAAAACCCAGTAGTAGTACGCGAACAAGGCAACAGAGGCATAGTAGCGGACAAACAGATCACGGTTGGCATCT